CGATATCTGTGGGCTGACAGAGGCAGGGGAGGACGAGCGTGGGATGGAGAGGCTGCTGTTAGAGTTCAATCCTGACTAAATTTTCCAGTGTAGGCAGCTAAATATAGGAGATTCCATATTAGAGCTTGGATAACCATACAGAGCACAGCTTTGTTTCCAGCACCTCAGCTGCCATCAACAGAACAAGAACGTCTGGCTTTGGTGTCACTTGTGGTACTGGTTTGCAGTGCTGCGTAAAAGTTCTGGTCCAGCCCTCTACCACCAGCTGCTGGGGCAGTTCAGTTAAGTCACCTTCTTCTCTATACTTACTTTTCTTCCTTCAAAAAGAGGAGAGAGATATGGAACCATGTTAGGATCTGGAGGCGCAGTCTGAGACAGCTTGTGAATGAACATTCAAGCAGGCTTGAACCACAGTTGTGTTGTCTTAGCTGAGTTGATAGCTATATATCTGAGGCTGGAAGTCATGCTCATCTCAAGCAACATAAATCAGTCATACAAGCATTCCAAGTCTGCTTCAATGCTGAGACAACCAAGATAGCACAAATCTTCCAGAGGGTCTGCTGTGCTGTATTTAGACAGCCCCTGTGCCTCAGCAGAGGGCTGTAGGAAGCAGCTGTGCAGCAGCAAATTCTTAAGCATAGCAGCTGTTTGACAAGGGAAACTTAAACTGTATCACAAGGTCTAAACATGGGCATAAATAAGTCTGTGTACCTTTATCTGTTGATAGAGGGTATGTGGCTAGATGTATTTCATTACAACCTGAACTTGTCTTGGCATCATCCAAGTCTTTCAGAAGAAAAAGGGGGAGGGTAGAACCAGCTTCTCTTAGCTTAGAAATGTTTTAAAACATCTGCATCTTGAAACAGATATGATGAACTAAAAGATATTTTGACTTTACAGTTACTGTGAAAATAAATGTTTCTCAACTATATTATTTCTTCTATTTAAATAAGTATTGTGGTAGATCTTCTTCATTCCTAGTTGGAAAACTTGCATCACATTCATTATACTTACTTTGAGCTTTTTGTCTGTAAATTATACCCCATTTAGAGGTGCGGTAACCATGGTGCAGGGAGGCATAAAGGCTGATGCACCTAGGTCAGTTCAGAGCAGAAAAGGACTCACTCTGCCTTTCAGTTTAGTGCCTTATCACTGGATCTCCCTGGTGGTTTTCTTGAATCTGTTTACACTAAATGCAGGGCTGAGATAGTCTCTGTTTTCAGCAGCATGTATAAGTTGTTTCCGTCCTTTTTAGGTTCTAAAGACTACCAGCTGGTTACATGGTCCCGTGATCAGACTCTGCGGATGTGGCGGATTGACTCTCAGCTGCAGAGGGTACGTAAACACTTTTGCTCTTGAACTGTAGACAGTTTTCTTATGGGCTGGATTCACCTCCTTTTCCTTGCACTCCCAGACACTCCTCTGACATCCTAGAGCTGCAGACACAGCAGCCAGCTGTCGCTTCACTTTCCTCTTCAGCTCCAGCCCAGAAACATCCCCAGGGAGACCTGTGATGAGGCCTGTCTCTGTGCCTCAAAAGCTTATGTGGAAGTGCAAGGCTGCTTTTCTGTATAACAGTAATATAGAAGTTGTTTCAGGAAGGTGGAGATCAGTTTTTGGCATGCCAGATGCCACCTCCATGGCTGCAAGACTGTATGACTTTTTCTTGGCATTTTAGATATCAGGTAGATGTAGGGATTGTGACTTCCACTTCCTCCCCTTCTTTCCTTTACCTCTTAGCCTGGTGTAGGCAGTGTGAATCCTGTTGTTCAGCTGTCTGGTAGCAGTTAAAATTGCTGATGCAATTACTAGAACAGATGTGCTGGGTCAGACCAGAAGTTCATATGGCCATGATGGTCCATATTGCCTTATCTCATCTTCAGCTGTGGATGTCTTGGAAGAGAATAAGAACAAGGCAGGTATGGAGTGATGCTTCTCTCAAATGCCCACCCAGCCTCCTGCAGTTTGTAGCTTAGAGGCTCATTGAGTCTGGCGTCTTTGTGTTTGACAAAGTTTGATGAGTTTCACTTCCATAGACTTATTCTGTCTTTTCTTGGACCTATGTAAATTTTTGTCATCTTAAACATCCTATGGACAAGGAGTTCCATGGCTTTTCTGCATGTTGTGTGGAAAAACAGCTCCTTTCATTTGTTTATTTTGCAACCTGCTAGTTTCATTACATTGAAGATGAAATGAGCACCCATCTTGTCTGCACCACTCATAATTCTGTAGACTTCCATCATATCGTTCCTCAGCTGCCTCCTTTTTCAAGTCAAAAGGTCTTTGTTGGGCATTTTGTCAGGCATAATTCCATGAAAACGTCAGCTTAGTCTGGCCTCTACATCTTGTTCACTCAGTCAGCTTGACCTTCCTGTTTTTTCCCCTGTATGCATTGCTTTATATTTATCTGAACTGAAGTTCATCTTTCATTTTAGTATAGTTACTTCTGTAAGGTCCTTCTGTCATTGTTTGCAGTCAGCCATGCTTGTTACTACCCTGAATAACTTGGAGGCATCAGCAAACCTGGTCATGTAGCTATTCACCTCCTATTCCAGGTTTTTAATGAATATGTTGAGAAGCATGTATTCCCAGCACAGGTCCTGCAGGTCTGTAACAAACCTCTGTGAAAAATGACCCTTTACTCCTACCTGATATACTTGTGAATATTTTATTTCTTTCCTGTCTTTAAACCAATTGTTCATCCATGTGAGAGTCTTTACTCTTCCTCTGCTGGCTCCTGCTCTTTTGTCTTTGTCTGGATCAACCTACACACATGATGGCATGTTGCTGGTGACCAATGCTGTAATTTGCTACCTGGCACCCTTACCCTTTCTCCTCCCTGTGTTTCTTCTCTTCATCTTCCCTGTTTTCTTGTGCTGAACTTAAAATACAAGTTTTCATGGTCTCTTTTTGATACAGGACCTAGAACACTAGGGCCCCTAGTATGTACCTGGATCTCTAGATGCTACTGGAGTGTAAATATCAAAAGCAGAAAGTGTGCTACTATTATATCCAATCTAAAAAATTAAACCAGTTTTGACAAATTAATTCAAGGAATTAAAGTCATATCAGCTTTAGTTTTGATTAAAGTAAAACCCCTGTTTCTTAGACTGGCCCTGTCAATTTGTACACTTTGTAAGTGAGCAGGAGATTTGGCCAGGCTATCTGAGGTGACAGAGCTGAGGATGCTGGAAAGTGGAAGATCGTCTGTCTCTGTCACAGAAACAGTGCTGAGGTCTTGGTTATGACTCTTGTGTGGACAGACCTACCTTGCAAATCCAGCTCCCTGGAGAAACAAGTTGTTTAGTGGTGGCTCTTTCCACGGTTTGGTTTCTGTTGTGCAGCATGTGGGTGTGTTTGTTCTTTTCAGCTGTGCACTAACGATATCCTGGATGGAGTCGAGGACCTCATTGATGGGATTTCTCATCTGCCAGAGCCAGACAAGACCCTTCACCCCCAGGACTCTGAGCCCCAGCATAACTCTGGGCATGGGGATGAGGAAGGTGAGACAAGCGATGGCACTTCAAACACCAGGTCTCTTTGTGTTGGGAAGAATAAGCAAATAACATCATAGGCAGAGCACAAACTGGTGCTGTTTCAGAGGTTAATGGATTCCCCATCTGGGAGGAGGGAAAACACAGGGGTTTCTCAGGGTGGTCCTCCCAAGTTTTTTCTCGTCTAACACGTTCTAGCTGTAAAACAGAGCTCTTCCTTGTCACTAATATAATTTAATTGCATTCTCTTTAGGTCATAGGGGGTTTTTCTTTGGCTTGCTGCCAAAAATAAGGCAATCAGAAAGTCAATTCTGGCTCTTAAGAAGGTAGTTCAGTTTCAGCTGAGAGATGAGGCCACAGAAGAGGGGAGCATATGGGTAAAGCACTCTGACACAAGCTGCTTACATCACACCTGATACCTAAACATTTCTGTTGGGGTCACTGTGTGAACTGATCTAACACAGAGATGCTTGCTGGTGTCTTCTCCCATCCACCAGCAGTAGTACGGAGAGAGCTCATGAATTTTTGTTCACATATTGATGAGAGGTGGCTGAAGGCTGGCAGAGCAGAGGGGGAGGGATGGTATCTCTGACTTCTGAGTACCAGATGGGTGGATGGGAATGGGTTTGAGTCTTTAACAATAAGCATTGATTTGGCTTTATGGAAGAGGAGGCATACAAGGAAGGAATGCAAAGGAGTGTTTGTGTGGTTAAGGCTCTGGCCAGGTTAAACATTCAGGGTATTAGTGTTTGAGGAGCATAAGTACCAGAATAGAAAAGATTGCAGCTGCTGAGATCCATGGCGATGATGTGCACATGAAAAAGCTGTCTAAAGAGATTTCTGTGTCTAATACTGAGGGAGAAGAAATGGGTGCTCCCATGTCTTTGTGTCAGCTTGGGTTTAAATTTGCAGTTCCTTTCTGTATTGTAGCTGGGTGCTACAACGGATTCCCATGTGAGAGGCTTACTGGGAAGCAATTTGATTCTTCCTTTGACTTGCCAACAAACTGGAGAGAAGGGGAGGAAGTGGTCTAATATCTGTCCTCTGAATAAAGGAGCCAGCTGTGAGGTCCCTTAGGACCTTCCTAACTGGAAATTTCCTGCCCAGTGAAGTTCTCTGCTGCTTGTCCTGTGTGGCAGCAGAACAATTTCTAAAAATTGTCAGCACCTCTGCCTGCACAAGGGTTTTATAATACGATAGAAAAAGCCCTGGTTATTTATTTGTGCTCACCATGAGCAGTACTGTGTGGGGAAGCACAGCCTCTCTTGCTCCAGCTGGGAGCATTAAGTGTTCTCATTCTGGCTGCCTGACCTCTCTCTTTCCCCAGGAGAGAGTTAACGCTTTCCCTGTCCCTGATGAGGTCACATTCATACGTCCTATGTGGTTCCTGTGTGGGTCTGGGTTTGGTTCAAACTATTAAGGTTTCCCTTGTGACCAAAAGGAATGAAAATGGCTTTTCTGTAGCAGGGTAGATTTTGCTGCAAATACTGTGACTGCAGGATCAATGCGCAAGTCCCTAGGTAGGAATTTCAGTTCTTTCTAGCCTAAAAGCTATTATGGACTGTTGATGTTCCACCCTGGAGGTGGCTGCATTTCAGCTGCAGACAAAGTCTCCATTTTATATTAGTAAAGCACTTTGGGGGATCTTTGAAGAGAACAGCACTCTGCAGATAAATCAGAAAGCCCACCAGCTGTGCCTTCAGTGTACAGCTCTCCTCACTGGCTGCTGCCTATAAAGGATCTTTAGGGATCTAAACAAATACATGGGCTTTTGGGAATTGGAAACTAATTGGAAGGGAACAGGTGAGATGACAAAGAGAGGGTACTACCCATATTGGGAACCTCAGAGATGGCTTTTCAGTAAGCTGTGTGGTGTCTTGAGCTAGAAATAGTTATCTTCCCTGAGAGCCACTGATCTTCCTTTAATCCCTTTTTCAGCTCCCTTTTGTGAAGTATATCTAAGCACTACAATAAAATCGCAAACAGGAATGAGTAGCTAAGCATCCTACCTATGCAAATTCAGCAACCCACTGGGCAACAGCAAAACCACATATATTTGTCCCAGCAGCGAAGTCAGTAACTTTTAGGCAAACGCCTGTAAAAGGACAGCTTTTTCATTTCTTGTCATTCATTTTTTTTGCTAGGAATAGTCTGTGCAATATGACATTGCAAGCGTGAGAATGACAGCTGAATAACCAGAAATTCCCTTGTGTCCTTCAAACCATCATCAAAAAAATACACTTGGTCTTCTTAGGAAGTGGTGCCACAGTGAAACTCCCGACAGAAGGAGCTTTTCCTGCCCTAATGGGGGGACATAGCAAGGTACGAGGCAAAAGCCAGGCATGACTACAGGCAGAGACCAATTCTTCTGAAACTCAGTCAAGTTTGCTATCTTAATCATAATTCCTTGTCTCCTGCAGCGCTTGCCTGGCTGTTTAAATGTATTCTGGCCTTCAGGAGTTATTGCCCTCCTGAAAACTGTTGGAACCGGACAGCTAGACTCAGCATTTGGATGAGTCTTTAAAGACCATTAAAGGACTAGAGTGTTTTGCAACATTAAATGCAAACAGCGGCTATGAATGAATTAAGCCTCTACTAGGGCCAGAAATACCCTCTTCTCTCTCCCAAAGCATTATTATGCTTTGGAAGCATTCCCTGAAAGCCAAGACTGGTGGGGTGTGAGTCCCAAAGACCAGAGCTCCTCCTGGAGAC